AACCAAATTTCGAGAACAATTGAAAAAAAACTCAAGGTTTTTAAGATAGTTTGTGAAATGTTCAAAACATTTACTTTCGTTTTAATTGAAAGTAGTGCTATGTTTTGTGTTTTTAATATAATATTATAAATAATAATTTATATATAACTAATATTTACTATAAATAATATTTAACATAAATAGTAATTATGTAATTGAAATTTGTTTTGAAAGTATACAAGAATTAAGGAAAAGTTTTATTCGCTTCGGTAATAAATATTAGTATCACAGAAATCGATGTAAATAAGTTGACTACCGGTATAGGACTGGTTAAGTTTAGGGTTGAGATCATCCCTTTTCACTCATCACTGGTTTCACTTTAAGCAAAACTAATAAATAAGTCATAAAACTTACGGTACATTTAAAATAAATAAAATTATAGACGAAAATAAAGTAATTATTCGGAAACGAGAATAAGCATTGAATGGCTAATACCGTAAGTTATATACACATTACTATTGTTATACACCGTATATTTGTTTTGCGTAGCACTGGACTTGTATGAATTGAATTGAGAGCAACTAATTTGTGAATAATTTTCTTGTAAGCCAGTGATGGTCTACCCTTTCATTTGTCTGACCAAAAGAGCCATTTATAGGCATCGCGTCTCTAATGTAATGACAAACAGACTTCTCGTGTGCACTGTAAGCCCAACTAAAAGCCATATGAATGAGATTCCGGTAATTTTGATCGTAAGCTCTTTTACGGTATTAGTTATGTGTTGTTGTAGTAGGAGTTCACCAGAAGAGTGAAGGCCACCAACATTGATATCACTGGCGATGATTGCCATTATATGGCCATCGGTTGCCATTGCGATGCCATAAGTGCTGTGCAAAACACTGCGCTCGCGAATAATTATCCCGGCACAAATGAAAGTTAAGGCGCTTTTACATGAGTTATATCTAACTTAATAATCAAAGTTAACTCAACCGCCCGTACAGCCAATTATGTATCAGTTGCTCATCCAATCAGTAGCTTATGACTTACAACTGACTATTAAATTGAATACAATTACCGAATGCAAGCAATTGTTTGCATATTCAGTGCCTTTTTAGCAAAGATTTAGTGCAAACGAACCAATCGTACGGAATATACACACAATTCCTAACAATTCTGTAGATTATGGTCTCATCTGAACGCATATACATCTTAAGACCGAAACCAATCGCTGGTCATTGAACTTAAACTCACTTTAAATGCAATTTTTGATGATTTTTGCACAAAAATAATTTAAAAATATGTAATACTCCGCTTTTTTGACGAGTTTTGTCTAATAAACTTTTTGACACCTCTTGGCACTTCCAATTTTGCAATTATGTAAGCCTTATATATAAAGTAGAAAGTGCTGTCAAAATAATTTATTTTTTGCTCAAAAACATTTTGAAATCTTTTTACACTTGGCCTGCGAATCGAGTTTTAAGTTTAGTACCGCTTATGAAAAACAAGTCGTTTATTCAATTAGTCACTTATAATGCAATTTTGTTCATTAAAATAATTTTTTAATTGCTATTTAGAATAATTCATTGAACTTCAACAACGATAATATTCATGACTACTGTATATGATCCTGGTTAATGCATAATATAGAGGCAGCTCCATAATAATCATAAACATTAACAATATTTTAGTACTTTGAGGCCTAACTCGAGAAACATTATCTGAATATTAGACTTAACTAACAATTTATCCAAAAGTATATCATTTTTGCAAATATGAAACTTTTGCGGTTCTATTGCCGGTTTGCACGACTACTGTCCCTCTAATACTGTTTCCTTATATATAATAATTTCTTATAATTCGAGAATTTTTAGAAAAAAGTCTTAAACTTATTATTATTATTGCTTATGATTATCACAACCTTTAAGAGAAACAAAACTGATTATTGAGTAATGGCTGGAATTGAGTGAAAAAATTGAATTTAAGAATACGTTAAGAGTGTTGAGTCTTAATGAGGAGTTGATTGCAGTGTTATATATGGGTGTGAAGTGAGGGCTGGTGTGTGAGAGAGTCTATCAAATTATTTGGTAGCCGTTGTCTGTGCCGCCAATAACCCGAATCCATGCGATTGTTTGCAGTCATTAGAGTCGTCAACATATTGTTATGTTATGTTACGAACCGCTATTGCATTGAAAGCGCAAAAATCCCATTGAAATACATATTCCGTGACTGAGTGGTCGACTCGAGCCATGCAAGTGATGGTGATATGGCTCCGGGCCTTTCGTGGAAAGGTATGAATATTTCTGGCAAATCGTTTTGAATGGCTCTCGCACTTCAAGTCCCGCTTCCTTAACAATTACCGTCCGTTCCCTTTGACAACAATTTTTTTGCTCTCAAATATTTTTGTTGTCTTAACTAAAGAGTTGTAAAACTAGGAGTGTCCGCACCAACACCAACAACCGTACAAATAATTATGAGCTTTCATATCAACTGTGATTGAAAACGCTAATTGTGTACAGGCGCTGGCAGTGATAACAGTCCCTTCACACAAAAAACATATCTAAAAACATCCCGATCCCTATGAATCTGGTATTTGTTCAGTCCGTTTGAGAAGTTGTTATATTCTGCACAACAAGTGATGACAAGTGATTAAAAGTATTTGTAAACTATTTTTGATATGTAATGCAAATCACAGAACTTATTATAAGCGAAGGAAATCCTATAATAACAGCGTTTCATACGTGAGAAGGGCTTTGAAGTATTCATTTGATTGACTTCAATGTGAAGTGAATTATGATTATATGATTAGCCTTTCACTCTCGAAACCCGGTCTCTCGTCTCCAGACTTTCCTCTAGTAATCAATCTTTAGATAAACACTGTTTCTAATGATGACATCAACGCTAATGAATGATGACTTGTTTTGGGTAATGAATTCATTGCAACGAATATTTCATTCATTTATCTTAATTCCCTCTAAAACTCAATGTAATTGTTTTGATTCATTGAACTCTAATTCGTTGTACTCATCGCTAATGAAGACTCAACACAAGACACAAGACTTTTATCGCTTTTTCCAAGTTAAACTCAAATACGATTACATCTCAGAAATTATCAGTTTTAGGGAATCGTTTAGAAAAAGTTTTGGCCAAACCTTAGACTCGGGAAAGCAATTGATTTAAGCGCTGATTAACTATATTTAGACGAATGTAATGGAATAGTCTTGTTATAGCCGTAAAGATAATAATTAAGACGAGAGAGAGAGAGAGAGAGAGAGAGAGAGAGAGAGAGTTGGCCGGTTGCCAGCGCCGGCATCCCTTACCCCCGGTATCTACGATCACTTTATATGTAGAACTAAGGCGTGATTGTAGTTTACAGTAGTTTGAAAGGTAGTCAAAATCAGTTCACTTTTACTTTTTGCCTCACTTTCGCTATCGAGTGCTACTCTACTATTGGAGTCATGTTAACATAACTTAACTCTGAATGCCATTGAATTTACGGTAAAGATAGCATCCATTGGCCGGTAATGTATCGATAATTACACAAAATTATTAGATAGAAATATTCACTTCATATTACAACTCAAATGTCTATAAAAAACAACATTTTTTGGAGTTGTATTTTTTGAGACTATTTTAAACAATAGTAAAAAACACATAAAAATTCTCTAAATCTCTCAATTGGCGAATAATTTCCAACAAATATAAAACCAAATGATTAGTACTGAAGAAGACATAGACAGCACATAACCCAAGACAAGGTCACCGATAAAATGCATTTGCAGTCATAGCCAACAACCGATTCGGTTATTACAAAAGAGAGTGATTATTGGAAATAGGATTGCAATGGGAAAGGGAGCCATCAGTTATTGCCATAACTCTATAGCGATGTTGTAGTCCAGAGGAGAGAGAGAGAGAGAGAAAGAGAGAGAGAGAGAGTCGTCAGTACTTTACAGGTATTGTGGCATCAATTGAGTGAATGAATGTTCAATCAGTGAATAAACCGGAGCTCTCGTAGTATTTGGCCATAAAATACATGGAAAGTAATGCATTCCTTGTCTAACAATTGTGGCAAACAATGAATAAATCTATCAACATATGAGTCCTAAAGAGCACACATTTCTCTCCTCTTATTATTTCTCCTCATTTTAACCAAAAAACTCAATGAAAAGCTATTATTTCGGCGCTAATGCCATAGAATAGGCACACATTTTGTGTGAGTTTTTTCTTCTCTCGTCTAAAAGAAAATTTGTTTTCAACTTATTTTTTCGGCCAAAGTTTTCTTAAAATGTGATTCAATTTGAGTCTATTTCAGACAAAACGTGATTTTTTCTTGTGTTAGACTTTATATTTGTCTCTGACTTAATATAAACAATTTCTATCAAATTAAGAGTTTTAAGTTTCATATATAAAGAACTCAATTCATGCTACATATAAAAGCCAAGATTCTTTGTATTCAAAAATTATATTTATATTAAAAACATGAATAACACTATTCAAAGTCAATAAAATATGGATTTCTATTATAAACTACAGCATAATTTTTAATAAATTTTACTTTTTGTTAGTACTTTTCGGAGCAAACGTTAAATAAATAATATTTTCCATTAAATACGATAACAATTAAAATTTTATTTAAATTTATTGTAAATTACAAAATATAATTTATTACAGTAGACATATTACATAGAAATATAATTTATTGCATTGATATTAAAAATATCCGTTATCATATATAGTAATAATTGTATTGTATATTAGACGAATAAAATAATAGAAAAATATATCATTTTATTGTTTTTCAACATTTTTAAAATCTTATTAATATTTCCAATTGAGTATATAATAAGGTATTGAATGTCGTATAGAGACATTTTGTATAAATATAAATTAATTGATGTATAATTATAATTAAAAATAACTTTATAATTAAAAGATGAATGATTATAATTTACAAAATGATAAATTCTATACAATAAATATACATACTTATCTATACATTAAATTATATATAAATGATTATTAAATCATGAGTCCATTGATTGCCCGCTAAGAAGCTCATTGAGTGCCATAATGTAGTGCTGAGCCATTTGTAAGGTTTCATATTTGGATAGTTTGGAGTCACCGCCGATTCCTGGGACCACTTCTCGGAGTTTATCGAAAGCAATGTTCAGTGAATGCATTCGTTTCCGTTCCCTCGCATTGGCCGCCAATCGTCTCTTTTTAACGACAACCGGAGCGCCCGATCCACTCGTTTTCGGCTCTTTCGACGAACTCTTTGGGTTCCGTTTCTTACGGTTCTTCTTCGCCACGACCTCAGAGTCTGTTTGTTGGCTTTGAGTGGAGTCGGTGTCAGCCGTGGCAGACAAAAGCATCTTCACATCCGATGTGAACGAGTTGTTTGTATTGAGAAACTTGTGATGAATTGAGTCAAACGAGTCATTGGATGGCGAGCCGCACGAGTAGTCGTCGACGGAGGCGATGGAGTAGGAGTTGGCCGGCGAGACACTGGTGCCCAACGAGTCCACGTCGAAGTGGTTGGAGTCCAGGCTCTCAATACTTTTGATGTTTTCTTCTTCCATAACAAAACAAAACGAATTATTCGCATAAAAAATACTGTTTTCATTCATTTCCGATGAAAATGCGAGCGGTTCTGGAGTTCACAAACAAAATTACGGATAATTCAATTCAATTACAGAACATAGGAGTCAACAATTCAGTAGTAGTAGTAGTACTGGCGCTGGGATGTGTGAGCGAGAGGCACAGGTAGTAGATATTGCAGCACTTGTTGTAGCAGTTGTGTGAACTGGACCTTAGAGACTCACCTTTTATATGGGACCAGAGCTCCACCATCGCAGACACAGCGCAGAGCCTTCTCATCATTATCTTGTCAGATAACAAGGCGGAGATCCCGTCCCCATCCCTTCCCCATCCCGTCCCCATCCACGCGCTTTAGCCCGAAGGCAACGAAAGGTTCTCCAAATTCAGCCGATTCTTGATTTGGCGTTTGTATGAGATCTCACTCACTATTGTCCCCAATATTCCTATTATTTCTATACTCTATTAGATTTTGGACATCAATTCAATGTTCACTTTCAATGTTCACGCTATTTGTGACACTTCATTTCATTAATAGTGTGTCCTGGTCATTTCTAATTATGTGCTGCTTTTAATCAATTATTCAAATTATGCATATATTATATTTGGCTATAATATAGTTGGTTTTAATTTTTAACTATTAAAATAAAATTGTTTTTGTTGTTTGTCGCAAAGATTAAACATTTTAATTAAGATTTCAAATATGAATTATTTTTTTGTTTAAATAAGAATATCAAAATTATTATTTATGGGTCACATAAATCACCAGAAAACCCTTTACTTTAAAACTTAAGGACTTGCAATGATTTAGGTCTCAATATTTCTACCAAAAAATGAATTAATATTCAACTCAAAAGACAATTATGTTTTTGGGCAAAAATCGATTTTTCAAAAGTATTTTTTAAATTGAAAATTTAATGAAGTTTTGTGTTTCGAGACAAACAAAACAACAATCGTTTGCAGTGTTATTAGTGTTAGACAACAGTGGAGAGAGTTATGAATCATAAAAGTGAGAGTAAAGAAGTGCTCAAAATTCAAGCAATCGATGGAATTTGACTACAATTAGCTAAACGGGAGGAATATTCATACCATTCAGACCATACAAATGACTTAATAAATATTCATTATATTCTGCTACTTCTCAAAGCAAACCTTTTTTCATTATCTCTCTCTCTCTCTCTCTCTCTCTCTCCCTAATGAGTTTGTTGTACTTCAATATTGAATGTCCACTTGGGATGGGATGGAAATGCGGTCTGAGGTCTAGTATACTATGTATAGTAATATATGAAACGGTCATAAATAGTGATTTTGATGAATGGCTGCGGAATAGCACAAAGCTTACAACATATAAGAAAGGATCTGAACTATACTTTCGATACACTGTTGGGCCAAAGCGTTTGGGAACAGGCTATCAGTCTTTGGAGACTCAAAAAAATCTCTTCCGCTAGAAGTGTACGAAAGAGTCCGCAGAAAAAAAGAGAGAAAACAATTTGCAATGTTTTTCGAAGTTTTCTATTGTTCACCAAAAACTAAGACCCATTCATAAGCATATCATAAGTTATTATAAGGGGAACACCAGAGCACCGGCCGAACCGCGCAGCGAATACACATTTGTCAGAAATTGGCTCAAAAATCGTATTGACATCCATTGAGCCAATTAAGTGGACAATAGAAACGCCGCAACCATTTCAGACTATATTCCGCTCGCACTGCAGACCTACTGTACCTACCGGTGCTCCATAATGTGAGCACAAGGTCAGCCGCAAAATCACTTTTATTTTCAGTGCTTTTTTGCTTTCGGACATTATTTTGAGGCTAAGAAATACTCGAAACATAAAGATTTCAACTCAAAGGTATTAAGTGTTCATTTCTATACCATTAAAAGATAGCATCGGAAAAGGTTTTCAACACTTAGTGGCCAACTCTTAACTGCCAGCCCCCGTCAGGCCTACCGCCTCTCCCATTGCGTAACTCATTATTCAATCTCGACTTATATTACCTAAACTTAAATTATTCTCGGAATCACTTAATATCTCTAAAAACCGAGATTTAATTATACTTTTTTGTTTGAGTAAATCTAATTGAATATAAATTATATTTTCAAACAAAAGTCATTTTTACCTAAAGTTTACGTTTTTCGTTGCAATTAATCGACTCCTTATAGACTACTGGCAGTGAAATGTCTTTTCTTTTATAGACTTTAAATTCTTTATACCATATATGAGTCACTCGATGGAGAAAAACTCATTTATTTATTAAAAGTCATGCAAACTATTGTCTCGTTTTTATTTTGAAAAATACAATATATTTTTGACGATCTTTAGATTTAAAGATATAATAATAAATGTTCGCGAAAAACGCTGAAAATATGAAAGGACTATAACTTATTTTCACGAGTGTTTTATATATACTTGTACATTTCACTAATAAGACTAATAAGACAGGAAGTGGCCCGGAATATAAGTGACTGCGAATGTAGTGCACGAATGGCCAAACTGTAAAGGATGTCAGGGGTGTATCGGTTCATACTATTGAACGGAAATACCCATAAGCGCTCAACAACTTCTCCAAACAATTACTACTTCTTCCTATAATGTCATTTGTAAGGCTCAACCTATTATTGAACACGAATTTACATTTTAAATGCAATTCCTCTCGAGAAACCATTTTTGCGAGATCCAAATGACCCCTTCCTATCTCACACTCGGCCCCTCCACTCAAATATATATGAATTATTTATTTAGGCATAATTTTATTCATATATTCTGTTTGTTGTCACAATTTGTTTAAGCAATTATTGGCAATAAAATTATTTTATTAAAATGTATGATTATTTCGATAAATCATGATGCTATCAAATATTAATTAAATTTGCTTAAAATAATAAATTATTTGTTTAAACTATATTGTAATTATAAAGTTTTATTTGTTTTTTGAAAGCGCCTTTCTCTTGAAATATAATAAGCCTTTCATGTAATCAGTGTTTATGATAAGGAAAGTACTCAAGAAAATAAAAATTTTAATTAATTGCTAACATTTTAGTGAATTATGAAAAAAGAGACACAGAGATACAGTTTGAGAGAGAGAGAGAGAGAGAGAGAGACTACGAAAAACTAAATTAAATAATTGAGATAATAATATGATAAGCAGTTTAAATAATATATATAAACAATATTTTTAAAAGTGTTATCACTTAAGAGAAACTAAGTTCTCATTCGAGCATATCTTATGTAACACACGAGCCCTCACTTGAAGCACTGGTCGGCCAAAGCCATCAATAAAAGTGTTCACCGAAACGGAAAGTTTCTTAACATTCGTGCCATTAATACAATATCTAACATCTAATACCTGTGCTCTCGTGTCTGGCATCAGGACTCATCCAATTTGGCTCAAAGCTATGCAAAACTCCTTTAATGACTTCTTTCTATCAAATAAAGCAGAAGTCGTTTAAAGTCTCACAAGAATATTACAGAAAACTCCAAAAAAACTTTATTCAAAAATAATAGACTTAAGTGTTATGTCTGAGAAACAGTTTATACGGAGAGCTTAACAAAGTGCTATAATATGTGCTATAATTTGATTTTTTTTGGGTACCAAATCATCAGGATAATTCAAATGTAATTGCATTAGAAATTCGTGAAACAATATTCCTGTTTATTACAAGTTTTGGTGTTACTGTTTTCACACCTTTTCCACACACAAAATACTTGAAAACAAAAACATTTGGCATTCAAATGAAGTAATGCGGGTCTGTTTGGCACAGGTTTAGCGGTTCTCAACTGTTTTTCTCACTTTAAAACTTTTGCCGTTATTTTCGTTTTAGTAAATATCAATTACTTCGAGTCTATCATTTGAGTCTGACTTTTATATATGTATAAGATATTCATAACGATAAGATGTAAACATATGTAATAAATGTATAAAATATCAAATGTGTATAATTCATACAATGAGAGCATTCATTCAAAAATCAAATTCTTTCACAATAACTATTAAATATGAATACAGAGTGTATTCGTTGGGCGTATAAATAGCAATCATAACATTATAGTCAATGATTCGGGTCTTGAATTTGATTATCTATTTTTCAGTACAACTTAAACAACTCTGAAATCGCAGTTCAATATGTGATTATAATATTGTTTGCAGTTATAATCAAAGTATAATATATAATATGTTTGAGAAATATTGAGTAAAAAGTTTGCACGGAAAGCATACACTTCCCAATGTCTTATAGCCTCAAACGAAACAAATGCACGATAGCTATCGATTTACTTTAAAAACTATTATATTTTAAAATCATAATATTATTTTGATGACCACGAGAGAGAGAGAGAGAGAGAGAGAGAGAGAGAGAGAGAGAGAGCTATAGTAAACAAACAAGTCATGCAACGAATTCGCATATAATGTGTTTAATAATAGAAATTGGAGTCAATTTAAGCGGTAGTTTTGTCTCTAGTGTTGGGAAACATCATTTGAATCAATTTGAAATCAATGAATTCAATGGATGTTTGAGTAAATAAATTACAATTTCTTTCAACACTTCTATATTACACACCATTAAAAATGTCTCAAACTTTATTGATTACGTGATACCCAGGCACAAATTATAGGGTGTGCACAATCAAAATACAAATAACTAGTGTTTTTGTGAAAAACAATAAATATAATGACATTTTCACTGGAATTGAAACAATAACTTCAAACATACTTTGATTCCACCTTGATATATATAAGAGTATACAGTAGTTGTTTGGATGTAAAGTAGTTTTTTGAAAATTTATGTCTGAATTTGTTGTGAAACAAGTTTCATGGACTACAATAGAGTCTGCAACGAAAACAATGATTTTGATTCAAATAGGCGTCAAATGTGTGCATCTCTTATGAGGAGATCATTACTGTATTAGTAGTGGTTATTATGGCATTTAAGGAGCGAGACAACCAAACATGAAAAGGTCGGGGATGTCACTAATTTCGTTACTGTAATTGTCCGGGACTTACAATATTAGTTACATTAGCCTCATCTCAAAGCATAGGAACGGTTCCGGTTGTCAGGACTGGCAATAAACAAGTGCTTCACTATTATCCGAGTTTACGCTTCTCTGCCATTGCTTTCAGTATTCTTTCGCCTAATTCTGTGTATATTCTGTAGATTTTCTATTGAACTCATATTACACTCAAATTCATTAATTGAAGGCAACATTTAATTACGCCTACAATCACTATCATTACATGCAATCATTATTGGTAACAATTTTTTTGATTTTTTAATATATAGTCTGGTATTTAAATGAGCGGAAGTCATGCATTGCTTGCATTGATTTCAGACATCAAATTCAATTTTA